TGTTAATTTCATAACAGAAACAAGTCTCGATAACCATTTTATTTAAAATAACTGTATTTAAATATTCTGTTTACACAAGTAATACAAGTTAGACAATAAAGATGTAATAATGCAAATGACTCCTTCGCGTATACATTAACGATATTAACGAGTGTTCATTTTCGGGTATTTCCAACACGTATCACCGCGATCACTACATATCACCAAATTAATGTTGTGTGAAACCTCATTACAAATATGTATCCGCCTGCTATAATTACAAAATTTCCTGGATTTACATAAAAAGGCAATTAATTAGTGCTATATTTAAAAACGGCATTTTTCGCCGATAAAATTACCAATTGTTGTAACAACAAACGCCGAAAATTCGCCACACGCGTTTAAATAATTTTGCATAATGATGCGTTAAGCTCAGACAAGGTAAAACTCTCCTATAACTTTATTAAGTTTCCTTGGTTCGAATTAAAATTTTTGAATTATTCATTCGAACCGTATTATGTATGCTTTCTTAGCCAGAGGAAGCTATAAATAATGCTAATAAGGATAAAACAGTGTAATTTAATATATAACCAACATTTTTTACAAATGCACGGGGAATTCATTTCAGGTGTTAAACACGAGATCCGGACCGTTGTTTCGTTATTAGAACAGAAACCGTACAAAACGCACACCTTCGAATAAATGTCACCGAAGGACCTCCTCATCTTAAATCATCCCACGTCATATTACCAGAGAGCATTTTTTCAGAGTCGTGAAATCGCAGTAAGCTGCGATCATGGCCCACTGTATAATCCGGCGATAAATCACTCCACGTCATTGCTACCGTTTGATCTGCAGTTTGAATCGCGTTACCGTTACTAAATTTATACGTGTAGCGTGAGTTATGACACCCTCGGAGGCCTTTCGAAGAGAAACAGATTTTTTCGATTGTTTCATATATATAGCAACGTTAGCATCATCGGTAGTAGACTTAAAAACATAATAATGAAGTTGTACATGTCAAATTTAATCTATTTATCCCACCACAAAATTGATGACGTCATTTAAAAAAATCATTAAGTATAACGTTTATTGAATTTGTATAAAAAATACACAGTTAACTAATATTTCCATTAAAGGCAACTGAAAAATCCAGAAGCTGAAAAATCCCCAAAATCGAGAAATTGGAAACTTGAAAATCGGAAATTCGAAAAATCGAAAAACTGAAATATTAAAAATTAATCCGGAAATCGAAACATCAAAAAATCGAAAAATTGAAAAATCGAAACTGAAGATATCGAAAAATCGAAATAGTCCAAAAGAAAAATTTGCAAAATTAAAAAATTTTAAATACAAATCGATAAATCAAAAAAATTAAAAAGCGGGAAATAAAGCAGTCGAAAAATGGAAACTTCGAAATCTCAAGAAGTCGAAAAATTGAAAAATCGAGAAACCGAAACATCAAAAAATCAAAAAATTGAAAAACTCAAAAATGTAAACGGGAAAAGTGGAAAAATCAAAGATTAAAAAAATCGAAAAATTGAAAAATAGAAAAATCAAAGAACGAAATTGAGAAATCCTAAAATCTAAAAATTCAGATATCGAAAAATGAAAGTGAAAAAATTAAAAAATCGTGAAATCGAAACATCAAAAAACAGAAAAACTGAAGAATGGAGAAATCGAAACATCGAAAAATCCAAAAAACGATAAATCTAAATATTTAAAATTTAAAAAGTCTAAATTAAAAAATCGAAATATGTATCTGGAAATGAAACATTAAAAAAATGTTGATATTGATATTGAAAATTTAAAATCCGAAAAATTGAAACAGTATCGAAGAGCTGAAAAATTGAAACATCAAAAAAATCTAAATTTTAAAAGTCGAAAAATTGAAACATCCAAAAAACGAGAAATCTAAATATTTAAAATTTAAAAAGTCTAAATTGAAAAATCGAAATATCTGGAAATGAAACAATCAAAAAATGTCGATATTGAAAATTTAAAAATTCGAAAAATTGAAACAGTATGATGAACTGAAAAATTGAAACATCACAAAAATCTAAACATTGGGTAGTGGAAACATCATAAATTTTAAAAATCGAAAAATTGAGAAACTGAAAAATCAAAACTCCAGGACTCGAAAAATCGAAAGATGGAGAAATCGAAACATCAAAAAATTGAAAAATCTAGGATTAAAAAATCACAAAATTGAAAAATCAAAGAATGAAATCGAGAAATCAAAAATCTAAAATTTAAAATATGTAAAAATTAAGATATCGAGAACTGAAAATTAAAAAATCGAAAAATCCAAACATCAAGAAACGGAAAAATTGAAAAATCGAGAAATCGAAACATCAAAAAATCGAAAAATTGATAAATCAATAAACCGAAAACTCGAAACATTAAAAAATCGAGAAATGTAAAAGTCGGAAATTTAGGAAACAAATAAATGAAAAATCGAAAACTTGAAAGATCACAAAACTTAAAAATTGAAAAGCGAAAACTTAGAAAATTGAAACACTGAAAAATCGAGAAATGGGAAAATCAAAAAATTCGAAAATCGACAAATTGAAAATTTAGGAACGCCAAAAAGCGGAAATTTTAAAAATCGACAAATTTAAAAATCGGAAATTGAAGAAACAAAGAATTGAAGAATAAAAAAAAAGTGAAAGAAAGAGAAGTCGAAAAATGAAAAATTTAAAATAAAAAAATCAAAAATCCAAAAATCTGAAAAATATAAAAATGGAAAACCGAAAAATTGAAAAGTTCAAAAATCGAGAAATCAAAAAGTCGGACTACTGTTCAATCGAGAAATCGGGATTTCGAAAAATTGACAAATAGAAAAATCAAAGAATGAAATCTAGAAATCCAAAAATCTAAAATTTAAAAATTCGAAAAATTAAGATATCGAGAACTGAAAGTTTAAAAATTAAAAAATCGAAAAATCCAAACATCAAAAACGGAAAAATTGAAAAATCGAGAAATCGAAACATCAAAAAATCGAAAAATTGATAAATCAATAAACCGAAAACTCGAAACATTGAAAAATCGAGAAATCTAAAAGTCGGAAATTTATGAAACAAATAAATGAAAAATCGAAAACTTGAAAGATCACAAAACTTAAAAATTGAAAAGCGAAAACTTGGAGAATTTGGAAACACTGAAAAATCGAGAAATGGGAAAATCAAAAAATTGGAAAATCGACAAATTGAAAATTTAGGAACGCCAAAAAGCAGAAATTTGAAATATCGACAAATTTAAAAATCGGAAATTGAAGAAACAAATAATTAAAGAATCAAAAAATAAATTGAAAGAAAGAGAAGTCGAAAAATGAAAAATTTAAAATAAAAAAATCAAATATCCAAAAACCTGAAAAATATAAGAATGGAAAATCGAAAAATTGAAAAGTTCAAAAATCGAGAAATCAAAAAGTTGGACTACTGTTCAATCGAGAAATCGGGATTTCGAAAAATTGACAAATCGAAAACTTAGGAACGCCAAAAAGTGAAAATTTGAAAAATGGACAAATTTAAAAATTGAAGAACAAAAAAAATCATAAAAATGAAATATCGGAAATCGAGAAACCGAAATTTCAAAAAGTCGGGAAATTCAGAAATGGAAAAGTCAAAAAATCGACAAACTGAAAACTTACAAACGCCATAAAAGTGAAAATTTAAAAAATGAAAAAATTGAAAAATCGAAAAATTAAAGAGAAAGGAAACATAGAACTTAAATATCGGAAAATCGAGAAATAAAAAACAATTTTGAAAACGAAAATTTGGAAAATTGAAAATCCAGAAATTGAAAAACCGAAAAAATGAATAAAAAAATTGAAAAATCTAGGATTAAAAAATTCGAAAAATTGAAAAATAGAAAAATCAAAGAATGGAATCCAGAAATCCAAAAATCAAAAATTTTAAAAATCGAAAAATTAAGATATCGCAAAGTGAAAGTCAAAATACTGAAAAATCGAGAAATTCAAACATCAAGAAATCGAAAAATTGAATTCTCGGAATTATTGAAAAATCCCAAAACCGAAATATCGAAAAATTGATAAATCGAAAACTCGAAAAATTGTAGAAATGGGAAAATAAAAAAATCGAAAAATTGAAAAGTTCAGAAAACACGAAATCTATCTGTTCAATCGAGAAATCGGGATTTCGAGAAATTGGCAAATCGAAATCTTGGGAACGCCACAAAGTTAAAAATTTAGAAAATGGCGAAATTTAAAAATGGGAAAATGGAAGAATGACAAATCGTAAAAATGAAATATCCGAAATCGAGAAACCGAAATTTCAAAGTCGAGAAATCCAGAAATGGAAAAGTCAAAAATCGAAAAATCGAGGAACAAAAAGTCGGAAATGGATGATTACTCAAGAAAATCGAAATTTCAAAAAATCGGCAAATTGAAAACTTAAAAACGCCATAAAGTGAAAATTTGAAAAATGAAAAAATTGAAGAGAAAGATATGTTAAACTGAAATATCGGAAAATCGAGAAATAAAAAAATTGACAAATCGAAAATTAGAAAAATGTGTAAATTGAATTGAAAAATCCCAAAATTAAATACTGGAAAATTAAGTAATCGAAAAGTTGAAAATCCAGAAATCGAAAATTGGAAAAACTGAAAAATATCAAAACTCAAATTTATTTTTAGAAGTTCCGAAAATTAATTCGAAAACAAAAAAAAAATCAATAAAATAATAAGACGGTAAGAAGAGACATATTTTTGCGTACTTTCGAGAAAACATGGAAAGTACCTAGTCGCTCCATGGACTCGATTATAATGCTTCTTCAGCTTACGCTTGCGGAGTAAAAAACACTCCTGGCTCTGCCCCTCCCAGCCACATTAATTACAATCCATACAGTAGCAGTTTGTACTCGTAATGAAATAAAACCCATCGAATAAAAGAATAATTTGTCTCGCTTACATAAACAAGGAATTATTTTGCATGAAATTATTTCGCACTACAACCAAGAACAAGTTCCGACAACTCTCACAACCGGCTTTTTTTCTTCCAGAGTGCAGTATCGTCGGGACCTAGTCAACCCTCACCACCTCCTTCAAGCATGGCAGTCACATCTTCAGCACCAACACCAGGAAGTCCGCCCGCCCCCACTCAACGATGCTGTGATACAGGCAGACCCCTCTTCACCGACCCCATCACGGGCCAAAGTGTGTGCTCGTGTCAGTACGAACTTTTAGGGTACCAGAGGCTCGCCGGGGGAGTCCCCGGCCTGCCGGCCCTCTCCATGTACAGCGCCCCCTATCCCGAGGGGATGGCGGCGTACTTCCCCGCCCTGGGCGCGGACCAGGCCCCCTTCTACACCTCCACGGTAAATATGAGTGTCCCGCAGGGCTCCACTTTCGGGCCCATGCTGTGTTCCTTCCACTGGAACGCGGTGGTTCTGGGTAGCGAAATCGCGTCGTCGGGCTGTGCGGCTCGCGGTGACCTATATGGGGCCGGCGCTGCCACTATGCGTTCTACGAAGAGCCACGAATTTGCATAATTTCGTCGATTCAATGTGAACTAGGATCGAAATTTAAATTAAAGTTATGATTAATAACGTCGCTGCGATGCTAATTTTGTAATATTTACGTTTGCATAAGTGACACTTTGGCTCGAGTCATGGTGGTTTAATGGCCATCAAGAAATCAAGATTGGATTTACCGTGTTGGTTTAGTATGCAAAGTATAAAAACGCCTGAATTATGATTATGAATAAGTTGCGAAGGAGAGATACAAGTTGCGATTTGCATAAGGTAAATCGGTGCTAGGGAGCGAGTATTTTTGCTAGAATGTGACTAATCATGTATGCGCTGCTTAAAATTCGGCTGGGAGGTTTATTACCGCTTTTTGAAATGTCTTAATTAAGAAAATTACACGGTAATAAATTCAAAATTATCGTGATTAAGGTGCTGCTCAATATTTCAATCTTGACTCGGGGACAACACGGAGGAATGACGGGTTTTTATGGACGGATCATGGTTGGCGTATGGGTTGATGGTGTTGTGATAAGTTCACGTGGATTTTACATTTAGAGCCATTATTCCATTAGGTGTTTACTGTTAATGCTGACAATTAGTCGACACCTATGAGGATTAGCAAAATTAGGCCAACTACTTTCTAAGAGTGTCCGAGCCCAAACAACCGGAAAAGACGTCATCTGGCTACACTAATGTAGTTTGTTTTGTAGCGTTGTTATGATGAATATATTAAAAACTGGTTTTTTGCAATTGGAGGGTAAACGAATACGTTTTCTAATTTCAGAAGCTATAGAGCGTGTTGAGTTAAAAAAACACGTTTATTTGTGAAAGTACAAATATTTGTTGTGTTATATACACATTAAAGATTGATTTTTTCGTTGTAGAATTTGTATGTAGCTTCTTCAGAAGCTTTAAATTGAAATGAAAAATATCGGGCGAGTTTATTGTCAAATTTTTTATGTATATTAGATGTAGATGGTAAAACTCTAACCAAAATTTGTTTAAGCAATCCCACCACCAATCGGATGACGTAATTTCCAAAACTTACGATGTATTTGTTTTAATTTTATAAAATAAGTTACTGCTGTACTGGTGATGTATGAATCGGTGTTGAATTTTCACCATAGACATTTAAATTTTTGGAAAAAAAATTTGGTCCAAAGTAATTTAGACAGTACTTTCGGTGAATAGTTTAATAAAATGTTTAAAATAGATAGTGAACAACTAAAGAAAATGGTTTATAAACAGTCATTAATAGTATTTAATTTTAATTTTGTGAGGAAAAAATTGAAGAAAACGGTTTTTTTTTCTCCTGCACGAAAAATCGAAAAAAAAATGGTCTGAACATACGCACATACCTAATAAGACGAAACTACCAATTAAAATGGCCTTCATAAGATTAAAAAAAAGTTAAAAAACGACACCCAATTTAAAATTAATGCAAAATTCTAACCTTCGGGCTTCTTCTTCTGCTACAATTTAGCGAATTCCCTCGTCTTCATTTACGAACCCACTGCAACAAAAAAATACATGAAATTTGAATTTAAAAATTATGAAATTGTTTTTGAGATTTCAGTTTCGTGATGACCTTTATAAAGTAAAAACCGATGCTCCTTTAAGATCATCGTATTCATAGTAGATCATTAATCAAAATGTATTCGTTTATCCCTCACAAAAAATTGATGACGTCATTTCAAAAATTATGGCCACTTGTGTGGTTTATCAGTGCACTCATAATTTTTAGAATTATTTATACAAGGTGACTTAAAAATTAATGAATGGGGCAAAATATTGTATTATTGATTAAAGTCAGTAACCACTCGCTCTATTTTCCGAAAATTTGGGAAATTATAGTGCATTTATCCAAATTGATATAGTGTCCTTGCAAAAATGTTAAAGACGTCACAAAATTTTGCAATGGAAAAGTCTTTACATTATAATTACATACATATTTTTATTGTAACTTATCAGTGTGTAAAATCTAGATTTATTAACTTCAACTACTTTTTGATAACACAATTTTTCGTTTTTTAAACTTTGGTTTTTACAATTCCTCAAATTTTTCTTTAATGTTTCGATTTGCAATTTTGCAATTTTACAGTTAGATTTCGTTTTTCAATTTTTTGTTTCTTCATTTTTCAAGTTTTTGATTTCGAGTTTTTACATTTTTCAAAGTTTTCATTTAATACGTTATCGTTTTTTCGATTTTACAGTATTGCAATTTTCCTAGTTTTTGATTGGAAAAGTTGAAAAATCGAAATACAAAAAAAAAATGGGAGAAAATTGAAAAATCAAAAAAGTAAAAAATCGAAAATTGCAAATCGAAAAACTGAAGAAACGAAAAATTGAAACAGAAAAACTATAAACGAGAAACTTGAAAATCGAAGCAATTAATGAATCGAAAAATTGGAAAAAACGCGAAAGCCAAAAATTCATTAGAAAACCCAAAAATTTTAACGAAAAATCGAAAAATGAAATACTCAGAAAATGAAAAATTAAAAATCGAAAAAGTGATAAATTTTAAAATTTTTCATCATTATTATTATTATTACCTACATATTAATATTGAAAACTGGAAAAATTGCAAATTAACAATAGAAGTGACGAAAACTCGGTAAACTTTTAAAAAGTTAAAATTGAAAACACTAAAAATAAAAATATTGAAACGTCGAAAAATCGAATTAATGAAAACCTAAAAATTGAAAAAAGTAAAGAAAATAAACTCAAATGAAAAATTGCAAATCCAAGAATTGAAGAAATGAAAAGTTGAAAGATCGGGAAACTTTTAAAAATCTAAAATTGGAAAAACGAAAAATTGAAAAAATAAAGAAAATCAAAAACTAAAAATTGCAAATCGAACAATTGAAGAAATGAAAAATTGAAAAATCGGGGAACTTTTAAAACTCTTAAATTAAGAAAACGAAAAAGTAAAAAATTCAAAAGTTGAAAAATAGAATTATTGAAAACTGAAAGATTGAAAAAATAAAGAAACTAAAAAACTCTTGCGGAAAATTGCAAATCGAAAAACCAATGAAAAGAGAAATTGAAAAACGAAAAATTAAAAACGTAAAGGTTGAAAAATTGAATTATTGAAAATCGAAAAATTCAAGAAATGAAAAATTGAAAAATCGGGAAAGTTTTAAAAATCTAAAATAAAAGACGAATTATTGAAAACCGAAACATTGAAAAAATATTGAAAATAAAAAACTTTCCATTTCTTTTCCAAAAAAAAAGTTAAAACTGCCTCTATTCGAAGAGAAAAAAATTACTCAATCATATGGCATTTTCAGTAGATTTTTAATCCAAAGTCATTTTCATACCAATTCTTTAAATGACTACGGACAACGAAAAAATAATTTTCAAAAAATTTCAAAAAAAAATGTGAAAATTGCTTCAATTTGAAGAGAAAAAAGAACTCAATTATAGACAATTTTCGGTAGATTATCAGTCTAAAGTCATTTTTATAGCAATTGTTTAAATATTTAAATAACACCGGTGAACGGTGAAAATAATTTTCAAAAAATTTCCAAAAAATGTTTAAATGGGTTTGATTCGAATCGCCGAAATTGTTGCCTGTTGAAATTTTTTTGCAAATTAAATATCTAAAGCAATGTTTCCCCAAGATCTTCAAATAACCGCGAAAAACGGAAACATTATTTTCAAAAAATTTCCAAAAAGTGTTAAAACTGCCTTTATTCGAACAAAGAAAAAGGACTCACTTGTAGGGAATCTTCAGTAGGTTATGAATCTAAAGTCGCTTTTGTAGCAATTACTTAAATAACAACGAAGAACGAAAAAGTAATTTCCAAAAAAATGTCCAAAAAATGTTAAAATGGGTTTTACTCAAATAGGCAAAATTGCTGCCTATACAGAATTTTCTACAAATTAAATATCCGAAGCAATTTTCCCCCATGATCTTGGAATAACTAATTTCCATGACGAAAAATTGCAAATCAAAAAATTGAAGAAATGAGAAATTGAAAAATCTGGAATATTTTAAAAATCTAAAATTGAAAAACGAAAAATTAAAGAATCTAAAAGTTGAAAAATCGATTTAATTAAAACCCAAAGATTGAAAAAATAAAGAAACTAAAAAACTCCAACGAAAAATTGCAAATCGGGAAACTGAAGAAATGAGAAATTGAAAAATCGGGAAACTTAAAAATCTAAAATTGAAAAAACGAAAAATGAAAAAAATTTGAAAGTTGAAAAATCGAATTATTGAAAATCGAAAAATTGAAAAAATAAAGGGTTCTATCAGATTTTTTACTTTTTTAAGAAAAACCGTCAATTTCTCCGTCCGACACCTTTTTTATTTTTTGTTTTTTTTCCCCTAAAAAAAACTTTGATTTCTTCTGGACATAACCTCGCAAAAACGGGAGTGGGCCGAAGTTGCGTTGTATTTTTTCCAAAAAAAAAAAAAACTCGATTTTTAACTTTTTGTATTTTAAAAACTCTGTCAATACACTAACATTATTTTGAATCTATAATTTTACATTCAATTTTCATTACGTAAGATTTCGTAATTTTTTTTCTGAAAAAAATTGTGACTATTTAAATTAAATGCCTTTTTATATGCCTTTTTGGCGGCTACTTATCCGAACATTTTTTTTCGTTTTTTAGCGAACCTGTAGATTCACAGTCCAGCTCTGTTCTATTTTTTTTTTAATTGAAAAAATTAGGCCCACTCCCACTTTCACGCGGCTATGTCCAGAAAGTCAAAGTTTTTTTTTAGGGACAAAAACAAAAAATCAAAAATGTCGCACTTCGAGAAATTGACGATTTTTCTAAAATATTGAAAAATCTCATTGAACCTCGCATACATTTTTTTTTCTGAAAGTACATTTAAA